CTCACCCTTCTGACCAGCTGGAGAACAAAGTTCGCTGGACTCTTTGAAAGTTGTTTAGTTTATAATTTTTTTTTTTTTTTTATCTTTATCTTTATCTTAGCATAAACCTGTATAGCTGCCCTCAGGTGGTGCAAATTTGATGATTGTGGGCATTATGTTAGTTAATTGCTCATTAAAATCATCCACTAAACAAATTCAAATCAAAATGTCGACTTCGAAACAATGTTGGAGGGGAGAACGTTGGGCAGATTCTTAAATTTAATTGTATTTAATTACGCAGCGCGATTTAAATTTGAATTTGAACTTTAGCATTAGTTCAGCTCGTTAATTGGACAAAGAGCCATTAAGTTGAAAACTTCAAAATATAAAAATAACAAAAACAAAAACCAAACCGAAAAGTAAACACAAATTAAACATGCAATGTGCTTGGATGGATGGATGTCCGGTGACGTGGTCAGTTTTTTGGGCCTGGCTCGAGACTAAGTCCAACTCCAAGCCCGAATTAGCCAAGCTCCATTGCCCTTCGAGAGCCGCAAACAAGAGACACTTGGACCTGGGCCATCGACATCGACATCATCATATGCATATCGTCGTTGTGGCCAACACAAAATACGAAATACTCGCACAGAAAAGAAACTGTTTAAAATTCCACATACAAATCGTTGCAGTGGCAGCCGTTGAAAGCCAAATTGAAGCCGAAATCGAAATTGAAAATGAAAATGGGTTACAACTGGCCAAGGTCGTTGCAGGAGTTGAAAGCGAAAGCGAACTGAAATTTGGGAAGGGGGCGATGGTTTGTTAGGTTGAAGAGGCCTCAAATGCAAGTGCACTTAAAGAAAATGAGTTTACTCTTCAAGAAGTAAGTCCATCTTTCAAATAGATAATCCTTAAGATTGTTAGAAGCTCATGAAAGTCTAGTCTTAAACTTCAGATCTGTTTTTTATATCATGGCATCTTGATTTTTTCTGGAACTTTAAAGTATTTTTCATCTTAAGAGTAAAATTACTTAATATTCCTATTCTTAGATATATACTTAACATACTTCATAAAATCCATAAATATATAAAAGAATCTTCTCATTTCTCAGTGTAAACTACACATAACGCAACACCCTCTTTCCACTGTAGCCTAACAAAAGACTTGGACAAGACACAAACTTGATCGGAATCATCATCATTATCATCTGCATTTATGATCATCAAACACCATCACAATATTCATCCGAAATGCATAGGCGAATGCAGAGACCACATTTAACCCATTGACTTCCCACAACGACTCGGTTCAAGTTGATTTTTGATTGGATTGGAAAAACCAAAAATGAAAAAAGATGCGTAAAGGCATTAACTATTTGTTCATAGTTATCAGTGATTTAAGTTTTTTCATGATTATTTTTTAGGCAGGCACCAACTCAGTTAAAGTTAAGCTTTTTTTAAAGATTATTTATTGACTTCCTGGGGAGTTTATTAAAGTTCCATTTGGTAGTTTTAATTGCTTGTTATTGGTATTAAGAAACCCTTTAGAATTTTAAGAAATATATTTCTTAGCTTCTTTAAGCTCACTTTAATATTTGTACTTTAATCTTTTACAAACTTTTTCTTCATTTTCTCATTCAACTTTTTATTAATCATATTCTCTGCTGTGCTACTTCGCAATTCCTTTTTTTTAATTCTCTATTTGCATAACTTAGCCATCAATTAAGACTCTTCAACTTTAATGCCTTCTCTTTACTTTGCCACTTTTTTTTACGCATTCAAACAAAACACGCGAATCACTTGATTTTCCAAGAAGTTTTTCTTCACTGACTCGGCATTTTCCTCACACTGTTTGCTCTTTGATTTGCAACTTTATGTTTCGTGTGCAATTCGACGTTTTATTGTCTTGTGGCTTCGTGTTTGCTCACCAAACATTTGCTGCAGCAAACATGCAAACAGATAGAGACATGGTGTGTTGTTATCAATACGCCCCGTTGGCTTCAGCTTGTGTGTAAGTGTGTGTGTGTTGCCATCGCCATTTGATGGGTTTGATCTTTCGCCATTGATCGCTGATCTTTGGATGTCGTTGGTGCATGTTGGACACTATATAGTATATATATATATTTGGTAATAGCTTTGTTTTTTTTTGTTTTCCCGGGGAAAACCGGTTAGAGCGGTGCATTTGAATGCATTTGAAGCGCCGCAAATGGGGATGAGATATGGCCTGAGCCCTCGCCGTTTGCCCAGGCAAACAAGAATTCTAGATGGCTAATGGAGCCCAGCTAAAGCCGGGAAAATTCGCACGAAATGCCAAAAAGCCACGAACGAAGCCAACATTTCAATTGGCAAAGCAAGCGGCCACGCAAACTTCACAAAAATTGCCAAACTTCAGTCAGACAGTCAGACAGTCAGTCATTCTGTCAGTCAGTTAGTCGGTTAGCCATATTTTTAAAGCCGCAAGTCAAGTGTTGCACGTTGCCGTTTGGACGTTGGTTGTTGCCTCTTGAAAAATCGCCACAGGCAACGAGCAACTTGCAACTTGCAACTTGGCCTGTTAATGAGACACCGTCGACCGACGTTGGTTGTTGGTTCCGCGGAACCAAACTCGCTCAGATTGCCACAGGCCGCCAAACAGACATGGCCAAAACTCATAGCCATATGGCTTAGTAACAGATGCACTTGGAGAAAATATTGATTATTATATGGCTTAAGCAGACTGCTAAAAAGGATTTTTTCTTCTATTTTTTATGATATGTTTTTAAATAATCTTGAAATCTGGAAACTCCTAAAGTTAAGAGTTAACTATTTAAAAATCTGTATTAAATATAATTAACTTTTATCTTAAAAAAGAATGCATTTGATATACATATTTCCCTTTAAATACATTTTCTATTATTTTTCTTAGTGCAGAATCATAGCTGCAGCCGCAAAGCCAATTGCCACATTCTTCCTTTTTTTCAAGCCGACGAAAGAGAATGGTTATTTTGGCATTCCCTGTAGATCTAGTTGGCTGAATGGGTAGATCGGTTAATGTATATTTTGAACTATAATTTATTCCTTCATTTAATAATGTTGTTAATTTAGAATTTATTTTGTCTCTTCATCTAATACTTGATTTATATTTTTAGTCTTTAAAAATGTAATAAAACCATAAATTATTCTCTCAAATTTCAAGTTCAGATCGAACTGGATTATTTATTGTTATTGATGTTCTTAATTTCTTTTTAAATATAATAAATTATACAGGAGTTTAAATATTAAATGGCATTTAAAATGTATTTAATGGATTTTTGATAAGTTACTGTTGGTTTTATTTCATTATTAATTTGAATTTAAATATTTAAAAATATTTAAAATGTATTTAAGGGGTAATATTGGTAGTATACTAGCTACTATTAATATCACATATTATTTTTAAATATAAATCAAAAACTAATCAGTACCTTAAAGTCTTAACATTGCCTGACCATTTTTAAATACATATACTTAAAGATAAACCTGCGGTCTTTTGGGGGCCTGCGATGTGTGTTTTGTTTTGTTTTTGGCACTGCTCTGGTTCCGCTAGCAATTGGCGCCTGTTGCAAGAACCCGCTGGCGAGTTATGGCCAAAGCTATAGACTCGGGATACAAATACATACATATATATATATATATATGTATATATATCTGATAGATATATGGCTAACCGAGCTGCAAATTGCCGGCGTCGGGTCGGTTTGGGTAATTTGATATTGGCAACCAGACCAGACCAGACCGGACTCACTTTCAATGCATTTGCGTCAGTTTCTTGTTGCGAATTTCAATTTTGCACCACCGTTAAAGGTGGTAAATGATGGCGGCTTCTCGTGGATTCCTCGATCATCTTTTTAATCTAGTCATCTCTTAAGATTCTCTTTTTCTTCCCGTCACAAATCTTCTGTAGTCGTCTGTCATCCAAAACAAGTTATTGGCCAATGCCGGCCGATTGCCTGTAATTATGTTTCCAACTTTACTCATTTATTTTTGTTTTTTTTTTCGATTGGCCTCTAATGCCGATTGATCAGCAAGAAATTATTGCAACACTATGTTGAGGTTCCCTGGAATCTTCATGGCCAATTTGGCCTTTGGATTTTTGTTTGTTTATTTTGAGCTGCCAATGCTGATGTCATTCACCCTTTCTACAGAATCTTTCACCGACTTCTCACTTTTCATTGCCGCCGCTTTTGATTCTGTCGTGTCATGCCAATTTGCAAATTTTTCTTTCTTTCTATATGTGTAACACCACAACAAGCACAAAAGAATCTAATTTATTTATATAAAAATCAAGTTTTTTTTAAATAATTTATTAGTGCTGTTAAAGCCAGAGAAATGGGGGCAAAGTGCAGGCTTTTTTTCGAGAGTCTTAAGTTGAAATCTTGCCTTGATTTGGGTGGGTTTAAAATTTTGATCTTTGCTCTTTCAGTAATTTACATTTTAATTTTATATTTCTTAAGCTAAATCATAATTAAATAAATGATTTGTATTTTAAACTTGTAAATTTTAAATATTTATATCTTATAATGCATAGAGATAATAGTTATATTAACAAATCCCTTAGAGATCTCAGCAATTTGTCAAGCCCATTTATCAGAAGTTTAACTATGATAGCAGCAATTTGACTCATAGATGGCTTTCATGACGGCTAGCAATTAGCAGGCGATAGTTCCAAAGATAAACTCGAATGTGGGAAGAAGAGTCTGGAGACTCTAGGCCAAATTAGCAGGCGTATAGGTTGGGCAAATGCAATTCTCAGAGCTGTGAGATTGTCGGGAATGGGAATGTGAATCTGAATCGGAATCGAAACAGTCGCTCAAAATTCGGCTTGCATTTGGTTTTGAAATTCGGTTTTTGCGGCTAACACAGATACTGACCTATACATATTGTATAGACAGACATATGTATGTATAGAGGCCCCTGGCTTAGGCCCCCGAACCGCTGATCCGCCGAACCACCGAAACCACCGAACCGCCGAACCTGAGCGGTCTTCGTATGCTCGGCGGCATTTGGACAATCAGTTGACGTTGAATGTTTCGTCTTGGCGGTCGCTTAATTTAATTCGCTGACGCTGACAGACTATAACCGATCGCCGGAGATTTAAATCTTTCGATATTTTTTAAAAAAATTTCTTAAATATTATTAACACAATTTTTTTCTGGTGTACGTCCTTTGTTCTTGATCTTGAGAATGTGTGTGTGATTATGTGCCAGGAAAGAACTGAAGAGTACTAAAAACAAAACAAAATCAGAAAGCCATTCGAAAGGGTTTTATCCTTGGATCCTTGACAGGATGTCGTTGGGAATTTTAGCCCTACTTTTGGCCACCCTTGCCTGCGGTGGTCAGGCCCTCGAGGGGGTAGTTCAGCCCACCTGCAATCTGAAGGACAATTGCAATTTGGGTGACAATCTCCTGGCAGGAGCAAATGCTGTCTCCGATTCCGGTGATGTCTCAGTCGATAAGCTAGAAAGCAAAATAGCTTCGATATTCGAGGATAAGGTTAACTATAGTCTCAAGTTATTTGCCGATGATGCGACTACCACGATCCTGGAATATCAAACGGCCAATTTGAGTCAATTGCATAGCTCGCCGCCTGGAAATTATACACTGCACGAAATGGAACAGATCTCAGCTACCGATGAGGAGGACGATCAGGTGGAGGAGGATGAAAGGGGTAAGTCAGAGTCTGTCAAGTGGCCGATCCATTACCGATCGCTTACACACTTTCTCACGCCGCCCACACGAAGGCCTTGGGCATTTTACAGTCAGCAGCGATCAGTGATTTCTGCAATTGTAATGGGTATTTCGATTGACCCACAGAGTGGTGATTACATAATAGGCGCGTGCGTCAAATAAAATCAATTGCTGCTTGCGTTGGGCTTTCTTTTGGCCATGTCTTGATCCGTCAATGATGACGCACCTTTTCGGTCACTTCCGGCTATTTGCAGGCCCATCCCGAAAATGGAGCTAAAATCGAAGCTTATCTAATCGATGATGTCTCGCCTTTTGTTGGCCACTTGATTCTTGTTAAAAGGTTTGGCCTTGTTCAAACTTTTATTTTCTTTTTTTCCGGTGGCAAATATTTGCACTAAAAGTTAGGACCTTAACTTATTTCTCTCTTTTTTTTTTGGATGATTGGGGGGATTTCCAGACATTCGATATACAGTGGTTCCTTGGATCTAAGTGACGGGAAGCAGAGTCAAGGCAATGTGCGAAGTCTCACGTAAACGAAACAATTTTTTTCTTTGTATTTAATTGCATTTTACTCTGCATATGTGATATGTGATAAGGTCGCCGGACTCACGTAAGCCCAAGATATATACAAATTTTTGGAGGTTTTACCCATATAATTGTCTCAACTGTTAACGCCTTAAATTACAGAAGTAATTATCTTAATGGCTTGGCAGCATCTTAGGATTTTTCAAACTGCTTAAGTTTGTTACTTATTTATCGTTGCGTTGGGTATTTATTGTACTTTGATTGTAATAAAAATCATTTTGTCATAATATTTTTTTTCGTTTTTAATTGCAATTGCATTCGATTCTGTAGGATTTACTGAGATTATTAACTTAAATATACATAACTCTATATTGCTTTAAGCTTTCTGTGTGTAATATCGTAAAAAGGCATAATTTTCAAAAAAGCAAGCTCGAATATCGTAAAGATTGTCTTAAGAATCATAAGCTGATTAATAGTTATAACAGTTAGTTTACAAATTCCCTTAAGCACAGTGCCTAACTCGAATATCGTAACATATACCGTAAGCTTAGCTTATTCTTATACCATTTCGTACCCTAAAAATATCCCTACCTATAGCCAACACACTTCCGCCTGCGCTCTCCAAAGTGCCAATTCTTTGTCTTCCATCCAATGAAGATGTTCCTCCCATTCAAAGCGTAATCGTACGTAGTACCTCCCCCAAAATAAAGGCTCATAAAATCATACAAAAAGCAAAAACATATATAACCGAGAGAGCCCAGCCCATTCCGTCGAGCCCAACTTAAGTGGTTTTTGGTTTCGGTTTCGGTTACGGATTTTTGCCCACTTTGTGGCTCGTTTGTTTGTAATTGATCTTCGCCGAGTGCTTGTCGCCGATTTGTTGTTGCTGCTTTTGTTTTTGTTTTCGCGCCTGCGAATGTGCATATATAATACCATATATATACCACATACATATACCATATCTCTAACTCATCATCCATCCAAAAAGTAAGCGACCACTTGACCAGGCCCCCAAGTACCGTTAAAGAGGCCCCAGTCATAAAACGCAAAACATGTTACCCATTACTATTTGGCCAAAATAGAAAGAAAAAGATTTACCAAATAGTCATGTTGATGGAAATGACGGCGATGATGAGGCTTCTATGAAACGGTTAAGATATCATCCAACCCGTTCAGATAGCAAGAACTTCGAAACGGTGGCAAATTGGACAACTCAACAAGCTGTTTTTCTTTGCTTTTTGTTTTTCTTTTCTTACTGAGCTACGACTACTGCCCGGTGGCAAACTAAAGTTAAACTGCCAATTGACTTGGTCAATATTGACTTTAAAGCCCAGTTAAGTTGAGCTGTTTTGTGCACTGAAGAAAACTTAACGGATTTTAAGTAAAATTCTAGAAGATGTGGATGGGTTTAATGGAGAGTTTACTACCCAATTTTTGTAAAAATCTTTAAGTTGTCAAAAATAAAACTTAAAATGAAGTTTTCTTGACAGATTAGTACAGATTTCTGATATAATAGCTTAGTAATAGTACTTCTCTAACAAAAGATTGTCGAAATTGTTATGAATGAAAATGAATTCTAAACACTAACTAGACAAGGAGCAAGTTTGTCCTTCCATAAGAATCTCAACGAAAGTTCTTTTGTGGTTTCCTATTGGTAACCAAATTTCATTAAAAAAACCTATAAAATAACACAAAAACCCATGAGTTTTCCTCTCTGTAAGCCAAAACAAACAAACAAAACAATGTTCATCCGGGGACGAAGTCGATCGTGATCGCATTGCAGTGGCAGTGACAGGCAAAATGTTAACGAGAACAAAGTGGCAAGTGGTGATCGATTTGTATCGATTGTTTCCAGCGAAGGTGCAAGTAAATAAGTGGATTTTGCGAGATGATCTGATGCTAATTGGCAACATGAAATCATTTTAGCAAACAAACTATCAATCGATATCGATAATGGTAAACAAACACAAGTTAATATATAGATAGTTAGATACATGAATCAAAGCCAAGCAGCCGCGAAACCGCAAGTCATAAATTGGGCCCATTCACCGCCACAATTGGCCATTAAAATCGATACGATATTCTGGTGGGCCGAAAGAGAAAAACAAAACCAGATCCACTAACTAGAACGCTCTTTGGTAATACACAACAGAGTTAAGGATTGCGCGAATTTTTAGTTGGCCAGGAATATTGGCCAATATAATCGCCGGAGTCCAGATGCCAGTTTGGCCGTTTTAAAGCTCAACTTGTAGTTTTAAGTTTTTACTTTTTTTGTTTCATTTTTTAAGTTTTTCAGTTAGCAACTTGGCCAAGTGGGTCAGAGACGAATACGAAACGCACACTCAGCTGAGATAGACGGTTAATTAAGCCGCCAACTGGCAGCCAGTTGCCACTTGTAGTTGGGCCCCCTCCCCGGTCCAAAGTGCGATTCTTGTTTCAGCATGCCACTATAACATTCTCTGCCAGCCATTTAGCATATATCTCGTATATATACGATATATATATCTATCTTTGAGTTGGCATTTTCGCTCAAGTGATATTACTTTTCATTTCATTGTGGAATCAGTAGATTGTCTTGGTTTTATGGTTCGCTATTTACGATCATGCGTTGGCTTGGGTTTATAATTGAAAGTGGAGGTTCATAAAAGTATCTACTACTACTATTCCCCAAAAGTTGTTGATAGTCTCTGCTTGGCTGATGGTGTTTATGATCCTGTCAACTATTTCTTTTAGTATCTCTATAACATTTTTATGATATTTCTAAAAAGAGTTTTGCTATAAACAAGGAGTTTGACGAAATCGAAGTACTCTTTCTTTCTTAAAATACCTCATGGAATACCCATTTAACCATCCACGTTTCCTAGACATTCTAGAATTGATTCCCTCAAGGGAGTTACCAGCACTCACGACATTTACAAACTATTTTAAAGATCTGTTTTGTCATATCAATGTCTCAGAATCTTCATAATTTGCGATGCTAATGAGCTAGGGGAAACCAAGCCAGCCGAGTCGAGTCGCGTCGAGACGGTTGTAAATATTTCGCACGGATGCCATTGTTGCCACATCTTCATGACGGGACTGACAATTGATCGGAGCGGGTGTTGAATTCTCCATTCTTCCTCGTCTCCATCGAGCTGGCTGAGTTTTTCCAAATTTAGTTTAGACCGCGTTATATATACATATAGAAGATGACGACAGGTGGGTTGGCACTCGGCAGTCCGATCTCGTCGCACTCTGACGCATTTTAGCACTTTGGGGACTGCCCAGAGAAGACTCCAGCCCCTTTCCCTGTGTTTTTTTCCTAACCACATTTTCTACCCGCCCCACCGAACTACGCTCCGAAAAAAGACGGATGCAGGCGGCAACTGATATATCGATGTTCGATGGCTGGTGCCACGCGATCGGCATTCCAAATGAGAGCTGCCTAGCATAAAAAGTGGTCAGCGACAACAGCCCCACCATGATAATGAAAATGTTAATCGGATCGGGGCACAACTTTGGCATTCAGATGACAACGTCGATGGCGGGACTTCAACTTGGAAGCTCTCCAATATCCAGGGGATGATGTTCTTTCTACCCATCAATCTATCCTTCCCTCTAGAATATTTTTCGTTTTTTTGGTCAAATGGCGGCGCCTCATTATCCATCTTAGATCTGAATGAATGGCCGCTCAGTGGACTTCCTGTTTGCAAAAGCCACGTGCCCAGGCACCTGACCTTGTCCAATTTGGCATCTACATGTGCATATTGTCCGCCTTATAAGGCTTGAATGGCCTGCAATCTATAAACGCAATCCATTTTAAGGGAACATGATCACTGATCATGGCTTTATAACCGAAATATTACTTTTAGAAATGTAGAAAATGCTGATCAAAAGCCTAAAAGGTGCTTTATAGGGTAAATTCTTGCTAATTAAAGTATTAAAAAACTAAAATATTAATGAAAACCAATAGTAACCATTATAGTGAAGGCTAATAGTTACGTGTCCCTATTTAAATAGAGTATATCCTTTACTACTTTTCTTTAATCAAAAGTCTAAAAATCTATGTTATAGTTTTACAGTCTAGATTATAGTTTTATGTAACAATCCTTTTCAAAACTTCCCATACAGTTTTATAACCCAAATTACCAAATATTAGCTATCCGTAATCAATGGCTTTCAAACTAAATTGTAAATTTCCTTTACTCACATTGAACGAGATTAGTTTTTCAAATCAATTACCAAATATTGAAAACAATGACCGCTAATAACTAATCAAACTTTCCTCCAACATTGTAATTTCTGTTATGATAATAGATTAAATTATAGCACAAAAGTAACAACTTAACTGCTTTTCCGAGCAGTTAGAAAAATATTAATATTTGCTGATCACGGGTTAGAGTTTGCTTGTAAATATGAATACTAATTTTATGGCCTGGCTGGCTTGCAACTACGCCTGCTTATTGGGGTTACACAGTGAGTCACAGTTTTTGTTTCAACAGCAAGTGTTATTTTTTGTTATTGATCTAAAATCCGACGACTTCCTCTCCTTAACTAGATTTTTGGCTATACTCGTATGTTACAAAATACTTGAAATTGCTAGGAAATATGACAGCTAAGTGGGCAGAGCATTGTGCTAAATGAGGGGGCAGCAAAGTAGTAATTTCAATCAACTATAATTTTACTAACTGGCCAATCGAAATGATATCGGAAAATTCACTAAACGGAAAGTTTTTTGTATGATTTCATTTGAGTTTTAACAACTTTTGGCTACAAGTTATTAAATAAACTTCAGTTTTTCAAATCATTTAAAGGAAAGTTTTAAGCATAAACTTTGCCTTTAATTGTAAATAAATTATTAATAAAATTACCCTATATTTCAGTTTACTTGTACAACATTGGAAAGCGTTTTCTGGCGATTACGCAACCTTTCGATTCCGCCAGAAATCCGGATGCCTCGCCACTATGTCGCCGGCAGATGCATCAGTTTCTGAACGCCTTGGACAACTTCGATCTGTGGGCCTTAAAGAGTGAGTAAACACAAAAACCAAGTAAACAAACTTGTATTAAGAGAGATGTAGAGGGGGGACCAACTAACTGCAAGGTCAGTTTGCGACAGCCAACAAATTAGCCAGATCCAACAGAAGTCGGCTGAGGTTCTAGTTCTGCAAGTGGATAGCTGCTAGATGGATGCCCGATTGGTGGTGGACCCAGCAGACCCAATAGAACCATAGAACCAGTCGGGGGACGTTCAGCTCGAATTCGAGTCATTGCCAACTGGCAGCAGGTGAAGCTGCAGTCGCTGCTGGCGTTGCCGTTGACTTCGACGTGACCGCCAGACGAGTCGACATGAATCGAAAGACCCCAAAGTCAAATACATCAAATGATACAGTTATGGTCAAGATAATAGTGATGAACATTAACCAGAATAATGTGTGATTTGTGTTACATGATAGGTCTGTAGGGCTTAGTTCTACTTTTCTAAAAGAAAACTTTTTAAAACTGTGAGTGCCAAACCTTGATCATGTTCATTTTCTTATAAGAAATATTACATTAACCAAGATATTGTCTTAAAATGTAATCCCAGTCCATTTCAAAGTGTTTCCTATTTAAATATTTCAAATTGTTTAGGAAGTAAGAATGACTCATAATCTTGACCAGCACTGTAACTGCAGCTGTGTGTGATCTAAAGTGAAGGCCAACCGTCGAACTTTACCCACATTCACACAACAGGCATTCAGATAACCGAGCATGTGGCAATGCCAGTTGCATCTAGCGAATTTCCAGCCAAGAGCAGCAGAATTGCAAGCATGAGCGAAAATAGCGAATGCAATTGCAACAGCGAACGCGAACTTGACACAAAAGACGGCAACGTCGACGTCGACTGAGGCTTAGAATCAGAACGAGAAACACTACGAGTTGCGATCACAGTCAAGGTCACAACCGCCCACCGCCTACAACCGCCCCCACCTTAACATTATAAAGTGGAGAGCCAAAAGCGAAACGTGAATGGATCACATTTTCAGCTATTTGAGGAATCTCCAATTGAATGAATAAGAAGAATATTCTAAGGTTGAGGTCAGAACATAATCACTTTGATATTGTAATGGGTTTTAAAGTTTATAGATCATATGGTCACTAGCAAAACTTATTGCTTTCAAACTTTGTGTCTCAAAGTTATAAATAATAGAAATTCTATGCCATTATGTCTAAAATGTAAGCTAGCCCTAATTGGAAACTATAAACCTTAAGCTATTCCATCAACTTTTCAAGAATGTCATATGAATATGCTAATTGATCTGAAGTTTATTGACATTAATTCGATGAACAGAATAAGATTAACTCTTTATTTACTTTATTTTAACTCAACAACCCAATATACTAGAGAACGGCTTACTTGAAACGAAGTTATTGGGAAAGAAAAATTTATTTGCATTTAAATCGATAATTTGTTTCTTTAAATGCAAAAGAGTCAAATAAAATACAAAACCGATATAAATATTCTTCCTAACCACTTAATGAACTTAAATTTTATAGATTAATAAGCTAAGAAATAATAGTTTCCACCTACCTTGAATTATCCTCCAAAAAACAGTGCACGATGCCAGTGGCAAGTTGAATTCCGGTATTTTGAATGGCAACATCAATCAGCCCGGAGACTTTGATCAGTGTTTGGGAATCCAGCAGCGCATGAAGGATCAGAATGCGTCCAAGGATCAAGATGAGGACTCCACTATCCGTGGTCAGTATTGCTTGGCCTATGCTCAGCCAGTTCTGCCACACAATTCGAAGCGTTTGCAGAGCTTCTTCAAGTTGATCCAATCCCATGGACCTTTCAAGAGCGAGTTCAATGACGTGAGTATACAAAATTTTAAGTTCCTCCAGCTTGAAGTTTCTTTAATGGAGCACGTGACTTGACTGAGATCAAATAAAAACACTAAATCACTGAATCACTGAATATCTCGGACTTTTATAAAGCTGAAAAGAAGAAAGAAATTTATCAATCACCATCCACATCATATTTTCTAAAGTAAAATTTTAAAATAAGACTACATTTCTTTTTCGTGTGTTTTGGGGTTCCCTTGGTTTTTTCTTTGTGTATATGAAAGTCTTAATCTGGCCAAATAGATTGATTAACATTGGGCCGCTAAAACGTTTGACTTCGACATTGAACTTGACCAAAGGCGAAAAGTGCCAACGGAAAGCAAAGCGAAAAAATCAAACGATAGATGGTCGTAAAATGCAAATCACAAATCACAGCGCAGAAATCGAAGCTCTAAGCTTAGCTCCGGCCAGTGAACCCTGAAAGCGGACAATCGGACAACTGGACAGTCGGACGGAGAGCATACGGATCTCAACATGAAGAACGATCTGTATTTGAATATAAATCGTTTGTTGTGATTTATTCACTTATGTCACTTATAATTTAAATTATATACTACAAATCATTTAAGAAACAATAACTCACTCGTTCTGGTTTTTACTTTCGAGAAAGCCTTTTCAAAAAAATAGGTAATCGTTTAAAAAAAGGGCATTAATTAACGGAAAACCCGAAGTAAACAAGTTCACAGAGATCATTTAGTTTAGAACAGATTGCTAAAATTGTAATTGTATAATTACCGAGGCAAGTGAATAACCGGAACAAACGCGACCTGGCTTAATTGTATTGCCTGAAATCCCGTTCAGCTAGTCATTGTTAATTTTTTTTTAAGACCAATGAAGCCAGAGGTCGCAGACCCCTTTGTTTTCAGTATTCAATTAACCTGGAGGATGGGGCAACTCTCCTGCGTCATAAGTCGCTTACCGCTTATCGCTAACCGGCCAATCCGCTCTGATCTATATAACATATTTACTTACCTCAATTTTCAGCCTGGTCACCGAGTTCCTCGCTACTCCCTGATCAACTGGGGCCTGTGCGTGCCCTCTGGCTGCTCCGCCCGAGATGTGGAGTACAGTGTGGCCGAGTACTTGACCAATCAGACCACTTCCACGGGCATCACCTTCAATGTTCGCGTTGAGCCACAGATGTGTCAGATTCGGGATCACCGTCCTTGGGATCGGAACACCACCTGGGCGGTGCGTTTCTTCCTTCTCGTTCTCTCCGTGGCGATTCTGTCCACTATCTATGATCGATCCACCAAATTGCAACCCAAACAGAGTAAGTCATTGAAGATTTCAGTAAATTAACGTGACCTAATGGCAATTACATATTCAGATGCCTGGTTCACGGCGTTTTCGTTGGACAAGAACCTGCGCTGGCTGTTCAGCACGAGCAGCGCTCCTGGGGATATTGAGGCGGTGCATGGCATCCGTTTCCTAAACGCCATTATGCTGATCTTTTCGCACAAGTCCATGGCCATGTTCTTCAATCCATACAACAACCGCACGGCCATGTCGGAAAATCTGGGTCAACCGTGGACAGTGATTGGACGTGCTGCTTCCCTTTACACGGATCCCTTCCTGCTTTTCAGTGGAATGCTAACAGCGTACTCTCTATTTGGCCGTCTCATGAAGAAGCAGCCCATCAGGCTGAAGAACGAGTACATCAGTAGGCTAATGAGGTAAGAAAGATGTTACTATAAGTAACTAAGTACTAAAAGTAAATGTAAGATCATTACTTACCTGATTTGTTTTTAACCTTCTTAGGATTGTCCCTCCTTTGGCCGCCTTGATCCTGTTCTGCACTTACGTGTTACCCCTGTGGGGCAGTGGACCCCAATGGAACTTGGTGGTGGGACACCACGCCGACATCTGCAAGAAGAACTGGTGGCGCAACCTGCTCTTCATCCATAACTACTTTGGCTTCAGCGAGATGTGCCTGACGCACACGCACCATCTGGGCATCGACACGGAACTCTTTGCGGTGGCTCCACTCCTCATCCTAGGACTTTGGCGTTGGCCAAGACGGGGTCTCTTCACCCTGCTCCTCCTCTGCACAATCGGAACGGCGGCTCGGTACTACACAACGATTGTCAATCAGCTGTCCAACTATATCTACTTTGGCACCAAGTAAGTTTGCTTGCAAAGTGGCGAATACCAAGATAGCCCAGCTAATCCACACTTTTATCCCTTAGTATCCAACGCTTGTTCCGTACCGCAGACTACATGTACTCTTTCCCACCCCACCGCTCCACTGTGTACATCATGGGCATCCTGCTGGGCTATGTGCTGCGGAAGTACCAAAACGCCAAGCTGAGCAGCCTGCAGCTGCGACTTGGTTGGCTGGGCGCCACCGTTTGTGTCCTTGCCTCTCTTCTGGGACCCGCACCCATGGGGGACATCAACTATGTGTATAACTCCACTCATGCAGCTATCTACGCCGCCTTTGCGCCGATTGCCTGGTGTCTGTTCTTCTCCTGGATCGTCTTTGTTTCCCATAATGGATATACAAGTGGGTGTTGCCAAACGATCCCATGGTTTTGCAACCTTAAAACTTATACATATATTCCATTTTTCAGATAAACTGACGAAGCTGTTTGCCTGGCGTGGTTTCCAGGTGTCTACGAAGCTCTCGTACGCCATTTACCTGACGCAGTTCCCCGTGTTCTTCTTTAATGTCGGCCGAAGGCGTCACATTCATCACTACTACAACTTTGTTTCGATTATTGTAAGTAATATAGAAAGCTAACCTATTCGAAATACCAAGCTAATGCTATTTCTTACTCACCCCAGCTCGATACCAACGAATTCATATCGATCTTCCTGGCCTCCGTGGCCCTGACGGTGCTCTTCGATGCACCATTCCAGAATCTGAAGAAACTGCTTATCAAGCGACCCGCTACCGTAAAGTTGGCGAAAGAAAGTACGGTCTCTGGGACGGAAACCCAGGATGCGACGACACAAGCCTCAAAGCCCAGCAGCACTGCCCTCCTCCAACCGCATCCACACTCCGATTAGTCTGGACACACACACCCACACACTTTCTTAGCTATGTAACTTGTAAATGTCTTAGCATTTAGTGGCAATATACTTTAGTGATCCCCAGCGATATCCCCAAAATCCCATCCAATCCGTCCATCCCCATCTCAATTCCCAAGAGAATCCAACCCGCCCTTAGTTTTTAGTGGAACGCTTTATACATTGTAAATTGTACTTATAGTCAAATCGAGCGAAAAATGAGAACCGAACCGATTCGTAGTCATAAACCAATCAATCACTGCTTGATGTACGATATTATCTTGCTTGCTAAACCGGGTTTCGAGAGGAAGTCACTGCTGGATCCCTATATGTATTCCAAATTGTTTGGGGCACCATACTGAGGCTCTCGAAACCCATGTTTTCTTAGTATACTTACGTTACCTTAAGCGAGGTCGAATGTCAGTTTTTTTAATGGTAATTTAAATAATAAAATATATGAATATGTTACAAAACATGAACGTTTTTTTTGTAATGTGAATTCATTCATCAAAGTATGCACTATTCAAGTTCAGAACATACAGTTGAAAGGCCTGTGAAAGTTTTTTGCAATAGCCAGTTACAGTTTGAGAAGTTACGATTGTGATTCTCAAATATTATTAAAGGTTTGGATGTACTGGAAAATGATGGCCAAGTCATGGCTTTAAAACTGCAAGCCCAAATATTCCACAAGACACTTGCTGAACATACAGTTGAATAGAAACTGTACGTTGCAAACAAGCTAGTTACAGTTTGAGAATCTAAGTTTAGTGATTCCAAAACATTGACAAAGTTTTAAAAGTACTGATGAAAGATGGTCAAGATGTGAATGAAAGTGATTCCAAAATATTGGCAAAGGTTTAAATGTAGTGGTGTAAGATGATAAAGATGTGATAAAGTGATTCCAAAATCGGCAAAGGTTAACAAATACTCGTGAAAGATGGCCAAGACTGAGGCTGTAAAACTGAGAGACCAAAAACTCCAAAAGCGTGTATCAATCAATTACATGTCATAACCGCCAAAATACATAAGTAACTTCATAATCAATTAACTTTTCTAAATCCTATTAACTGCTACTATATTGGTAATCTCAAAAGGCTATAATTTGTAGAGTTCTCAAACAGACAATGCCAATTACAAAAAACTGATCACTATACATAATACAATAAAACATAAAATACAAATTCTTAAGCTTAAGTTATCTAAATTGACCAAAATAAACTATTTCTGTCGTGTGCCGAAGTTGATTATTAGTATAATATATATAAAATTAAACGTATATATTTAAATCTGATAAGCTTTCTAAAGCAAATGCTATGGCGTCTTACAGTTTTTTAATTTGTACTATTTTCCTGTTAACATATAGCTTAGCAAAGGCTTTATAACTTAACTCATTCAACATTTGACAAATTCTACTCTACCATAAGAGATATCAACAGGTTGCAAATCGCATATCAAAACCATTTTGGATTGGATGTCATCAAATATAGATTTACAAATGTAATTTCAGTTTATGATTTAAGTTCTGATTTTACATTGATTATATATCCTTCTTCTATTCCAAGAACTAGAATTATAATCTTTCGTTTAAATTACTTTATAACCAACAGCCATAAAAGACAATAACATTGAAGAGTTAATTTAAATGGAGTACATAAGCACATTGCCTAACCTCTCTTTTCCCTTAACACTTTTGGGAATATCTAGTCAATAACTAAAGTAGTTACTTTTTCTAATCACATAGTATCACAAAATGTAGTAAACAATACAAATCTATTACAACTTTTATGTTACCGGCATGAACCTATTATAATTGAATGCTGACTATTGCGATTTAATAAATAAAAATACAATATATATATATTGCAGTTTGGTTATTAAATTAAAGATTGCTAGTAATTATTTTTGTAAAACAAGTTCAAAGGGTTTTCAAAACGCATAAATTGACAATTTTTAGTAATTATGTTCTGACTTTATATTTGAAATGCTATTGGAGAAGTATTTCAAATGAAAAACAAAAAAGTTTTACTTTATATCCAAGTAATTAGCACTAACAATTAATGGTTTAACTTATTAACAAGTGATACTTTGTGATTATAAAAGCAGTTAATTATCAAATTTTGTTAATTTATATTGCTTATTTGTTTGAAAACTCTACAGATGATTCCTGAGCAGACACTGAATCCTATTAAAACCACGAGGCAGTTGCTCCAAGAGGGTTATGCATTTTGGCGGTTAACATGCTTGCTTTTGGGTAATCCTTTGGTCACAGTAAAAAAAATTATAGCTTGTGCCATGTATCACTTTTCTTTCACATTAAAAAAATAGTCACCATATTCACTTAATAAAAAAAAACGTTCATTTATTAGCGCTCGAGCAATTTATTAGCCTTTTTAGGGGCCATTTACTGAGGATTTTAGATGGTATTTTCACGAAGTTCTGCCAGAGGCTGTCGTTCTTGTAATAGGGAACTGCTATCTACATATATCTTTGGGGATATACCTTATGATAGCCAGTCGGTCCTACTTGCTGGAAGGAGCGGCCTTCTTGGGTTTGGCCTGGGTGCCCTCACGGAATCCGTTGCGGAAACGACGACGCACAACCTTCAGGTGCTGCATGCGACCGGTGCCGGTGGTCTTCCTCCTCTTGGCCTTCACAGACCAGTTGTCTATAATTTGGAAATGAAAACAATTACTAACTGGGTTATACTGGAGCTATAAATATATCACTTACAGGAACGCAACTTGGCGGCAGGGTAGCCGCACTGGGCGCAAGTCGACTTTTGGATGTGGTACGAAGAACGTCCACAACGACGGCACAAGGTGTGCGTCTTGTTGTGGCGTTTACCAAAGCTGGAGGTACCCTTCGTCTGTAATATAAATACATAGCATTATATTTCAAGTTACATTATTGGAGCACTTCAAAAAATAAAAAACAATCGAAATAAATTCGCCACTGAATTTCCCTCTTCCGCGAAATTTTCTTTGAAAATTCTGCGAAATTCGCACTCTTGAACTCGCACACATAATTAACGTATCGTTTACTTCACAAAATCATTCACGATGCTTGGGAAATTCGGCGATTTTATTTCGGTTTAACGTGGATTTTTTACGCACCATCTTGTGTGGCGAACGGTTGAACAAGAAAGAGCGAAAGAGAAATTGACAGCGGCTGTCACAATATGGCGTCGCTGCAGGGTTGCATTTGATGCGCCTAACAGCACGAAAGGTATTTAACAGCACAATATGCGCTTGACAGCACAAATTGCGCCTAACAGCACAATAGTTACAGCACACTGGCACTTTACAGCACGGAACGCACCTAACATCACGAAATGCGCTCAACAGCACACTGTAAGGAAAATCACTTTACATTACACTGTACACTTAACAGCACGGAACGCGCCTAACATCACGAAAAAGCACTTTACAGCACACTGTACTCTTAACAGCACAATGTAAGGGAATGCGCTTAACAGCACAAAATGCGCAAAACAGCACACTTTAGGACACGTTACTTAGCAGCGCGCAAAAAATACCCGCCAATTTCAAATTCAAATTTAACTAATATATTTTATATACTTTGTGTAAATACTTCTGACAGGTAGGGGACATATTAAATCAATAAAATCCAACAAGTATATACCTCTAACACCAACATAAAAAATTCAATCACATTTAGTAAAAATATTCATTGTTTTATTTATGAAATAAATTATTATTATTTACATTGGAAAATAATGCACGAAATTCAAATAATATTGCATACTATAAGCGGTGTTTTAGCACTGGACCGCTCGACGATACACACTCGAAAACAAAATCTACAAATTACAAGACTCTAGAAATAGAAATACAGGGCGATACACATACATAATGGGTAGGTAAAAAAAATAATGGAATGGTGCAGCTTGGTTTGGGTTATTCTTTTTAAATATATATACTCGTTCGATTCTGTGCAGATTTTTATACAGTAAGTTCTGTGGCACACGTACTACGATATTATATGCTGCACTTTTTTATATTTCGACAATTGTGATTGGTGTGTTGTGTGATTGTTTTTTTGGGATTTTTATCGAGGAATGGATGGATAGTTCTATCTAGTGTAAGTGTTTACGTAACTAATTTGCGACTATGAGCAAGTCGATTTGGCTTGAGACCTCAAACGAAACCAAGTTGCACATAATTTGGCTGCAGCTGTGTGATCTGCTTGCTGGGTGAAAGTGGGTGTGTGGTGGTTGGGTGAAGGATTGGGAAGTGGGTGTGGGTGCCTGGTGCCTTGCAACTAATAACTACGCCTCGCCTTTTTGCCCTGTTCATGCCTTTACATACAACTAATTCATAGAGAAAATTTAACTAAGAACCTTACGAAAGCTTTGCGAATAAATTATACGAGTTCGGACCAAATCTTAGCACGAGTGCATAGATACTTATAAAGCTTCTGAAGCTTTAAAAACCATCAAAATCTAGACATTATTGGGTTTGAGTTCTTATAAAAAAATATGTAATTAATTTATAATTAATATTGGTTCAAATTTGTGAACTAAATGAAGGCATATTTAACAAGACATCTATTTTAACATTGCCCTACAATCTCTAAATTTAAAATATGGTTCTTAAATCTTCAGAGGCCTCAGTATTTTGCCCCGATAAAATGTCGCATGTACGAGTATTTATATAGCTAAGTATTGACTTGCAAGTTAAAGGATCTCTTGCGCTGTTTGTTTAACATTTTGTTTCCTTTTTTTTCACTATGAACAGAAAAGTCTCCTCCACATTTGCCGAACCCTATTCTCGATCAACCCCACACGGGTGATCCATCAACTGGCTTACATAACTAAAGCGCGAAAAAAAACTGTTGCTAAAATTAAACAAAAAACGTTTCGTTGTTGCGCTCGCTTTTGCAGCACTCAGATTGCAATTTCCGATTTCCGAATTTGAATCCATATACGAAAAATCCAAATCCATATCCAAATCCGAATCCGAATCCGATTTCTACACCGACTGCTGGCCTCGACTTTCGATTGGCTACTGCCGCTCCACGTTGATGGTGATGACCATGGTTGGTCAATAATGACCGCCACCACCGCCTCCACCGCCACCACCACTGTGTCGGTGGTGTTCGCGTCTGCCGGATGACTGATCCCGATCGCGATAGTCGCCATTGCGGGAGCTGCTCTTGTGGTGATGGTGATGATGGCGTTTCTTTTCGCCCTTCAAACACACATCTGACACCACCGAGGACACCACCATTTCGGAGTCATCCCGCATGCCATAATTGTCCCTGCCGCATCTGCTGGAGTATAATGTGAATTAGAAATGGTGTTTTTTCAGGTTTTTCTAAAGGCATGAATATTTATGGAAAACACTTACCTGTCAAGATTTTCGCGGGATCGCTGCATATTATCACGCAGATTGTCGCGGGAACGGGTCATGCTGGGCGGATCGAGAGTTTCCTTGCGGCGGAGGGCGTTGTGTGAGCTGTTCTTCGAGGCGGACTCGTGCAGGTTCTCCCAGGCTTGGCGGTAGTACCTATAGATGCAGATTATTAGTAAGGTAACAAAGTTCTTTGTTGTATGTTATCTTAGCTTACCTGTTGAGTCCATTGCGTGATCCGGAGGTGGAGCTATCGAAGCTGGCCACCGTATTGCAGTCGGGTGAGGCGCGATGGCGATAGTGTTGAGTGGTTCGATTTCTGGGAATGGTAAAGAAATATATATCCATTAGTCGAAACTTTTCACTTTTTAGTGGTAAAGCTGAATGCCAGGACGAAAAAGTGTTGGGTTAGTTACAAAAAATCAGGCAAAATACAAACAAAAACGGGGTTAGAGACTGAGAACTACGCACACAGAGACAGATAGATATGAATGGAGACAGAGAGAGAGAGACAGATAGAGGGGTAGAGAAAGAGGCAGGCAGACAAAAAAAGACAGAGACAGCGATCCAGGCGTGCACAGTGTGTGTTGGTATGGTGTTGTGTAAGCATTTGTGTGAAAGAGAGTCCCGATTTTGTGTGGGCTTGTGGGTGGGTGATAGATGCTTTGATTGACTTGATTGATTGACTGATTGATGGAGGTGCAACAGCAAGGACAGCCCACAGCATTCACAGCTTTTAGCAGCTTTCAGGTAGGTTTTTTTTTGTTATAGTTTCAGTGTTTCAGTGTTGCTTGTTTGATTGACTGACTGATTGATTGTTGTTGTTGTTGTTTCGTGTGGTGTTGTTGATTGATACAAATTTTTGTTTTTTTTTTGGGCTGCTTACATTTGTGCATATGGCCGCTTTGATTGTTCTTGTTTTTGTTTTTGTTTTTTAGTTTGTTTTTCTTGCATCTTTGGCACGTTTTTAGTTAGTGGTTCCAGGTAGTAGCAGGTCTCTTTGGCTTGGTTAAATCGGTTTTTCTTCGGTTTTCATTTTCGTTTTTCGTGGGTTTTATTTTTTCTTCTTTCACATGTGGGAGCTGCTGAAAAGTCCGGCCCGGGCGCGATAGCCACGACCATAGCTGCTGAATTCCCGTCGACCAAGCTTCTGATCATCGAAGGGCAAAGCCAAAACGCTATACCACATGGATGAACCCGGCTGAGTCGGACCACCAGCACCACTCGAACCGATGCTACCATAGCCACAACCCTCTAAGCCAGCAGCACCTGCTGACCCAGAACCACCAGCAAACAGTTGGGTTAATTGGGCTGTGGATGCATAGCTGGTGGCGCTGGTGGCCGTCGCCGTGGCATAGCTGGGCAATCGACTGGGCCGCGGTATTCCGATCCCGATCCCGATCCCGGCAACCTTCCCGATTCCGATTCCCTGGCTTTTCTTCGTTTGTGGTTGGTAGTACTTCTGGTTGTTGTACTTCTGGTGGTGCTGCTTCTGCTTCTGCTGCTGTTGGTGGTGCTGGTGCTGGTTCTGCTGATGGAACTGCTGGATCTGCTGGTGGTGGTGATGATGAGCATGATGATGTTGGTAAGCGGTTAAGTGTTTGGCTAGGTGCCGCCGTTGGCTGTTCGGGGTGCTGACGAATGGTATTGCCAAAAGACAGAGAGTGGGAGAAGCAAAAACGAAAAAAGAGAGTTGTACAACGAGAAAGAGAAAGCGTTCGATGTTCAGGTGTGTGTGTGTCTGTGTGTGTGCGTGGCATGTGCGTGTGCATGTATGTGTGTTTGTTGGGTGAGTGTCTGTGTGCGTGAGAGACTCTCTTTTTTTCTTTAAGTGTGAGATAGATTTCTTAATTCCGGGGTTACTGAAATCACAAATAAAAAAACATATAAAACCATCCAAAGTTGGGGGACTCGACAGAGAAAGAGATAGGGTAAGACAAATTGTGGGCGTTTTGGGGGTGGGGGGTTCTATAAAGGCAGAGCGAGACGGAGACAGCGTGTGTGAGCTAGAGGGGGGAAAAGACAAAGATAGAGACAGACAAACAGAGGGGTGGCTGGGCAGGTGGTGACCCCGACAACGATCGACTTTCCTCCGCACAGAACAAAATATTTCATCGATATGAAGTTGCGGTCAATCTGATCTTATTACATATGATATTCTTGATAGTTCCTAGAAACTTTTTATGTTGGTTACTTTATGGAGATCGAAAATATTGTATTATAAATCCTAAAATGTTATATATCCTTAAACATCAGATATTTGATTTGATTTAATTACAAAATAAATTTAAATTTGATGACCAAGACCAAATTGACCTCTAACATATCAGACGGATCACTATTTGATCCCATTCTTTCTTCTCTGTGTGTAAAACTCGCCAAATTGTAGACTCACCTTCGGACAAGGATCACGATCGTGGTGATGACGGCGGCCAGGAAAACAAAGCCACCGAAAGCACCCAAAGCAACGATGGCTCCCAAATTAAGCTTAGCCTCCTTGGTCTCCTTGCGATCGGGATTGTCAACGGCGAAGGGCACATTGACATTGGGCGATTGATTTTGCTGGATATTAACGCTGTCGGGGATTTCGTTGTCCTGTGGATGTGAATTGGCAATGATCTGCTGAGTATTCCGTGTGGTTGTCTCCACTGCACCACCGCCGGGTGCACCACTTGGTCGCGAGCTGCGTGGCGGTGTTGGTGCATAGGTGGACGGCGGTTGAGGTGGCACGTGGTGGGTGGTAGGTGGCAAAGCTGCCGGCGTGCTGTTGGGTTTCGGGATAAGCACTGGTCGGACAGTGCGGCGCGGTGGGAACTCCTCGCGTACTGTTCCAGGCACTGGTGGGACATTAATGTCCTCCTCGGATTCAGCTGAGGAAAGGGAAAGGAATTCCGTTAGAAAATTAGAAATCCAACACGAAGTTACACAATTTTCTGTGATTACTGGAACAGTGATTAGTTTCAGAGATAGCAAAAAGAAGGCTTACGGAATGTAAGTAACTAATTTGCATGCAGCTAAAGTGCTGCTTTGGAAATTCGTAAAGCTTAACCCAAGGTGAACTGAACCTAGATCACAGATACTTGACTCTATACTTTGCACTCTACTCACATTCGCCGTTGATCTCGACCTGCGTGGGACTGAGACTTGGATACGTGCCCACTGTGCTGGTGGCACTGCCACTGCTAGCTGTAGATACCGCTGGGCGATATGGAGTGCGACTAGTCGTGGAACTAACAACCTTAGGACGGAAGGGCGGTGGTGTGGCCACCGACGAGGGTACAGGAACAGTTGGCGCGGCAGTGGGCTGTGTTGAGGGCTCCAGTTTGATGCAACGTGGCAGGGCACTGCTCCATTGACCACTGGCCAAACAGCTAAGCACTCGAGGTCCCTCCATGCGATATCCGGGTGGACAACTAATCTCCGCCTTGGATCCATAGTACGTGCCATTGGGAGCATTGATAATGGTGCTGTAGTAATTGCCAGGCAGCGTGTCGCATTCCACAACTAATGGTGATGGTAAGTAAAGATTAGGATTGGGAATCTCTAGTGGAAAGATATATTATGTCTACTTACTTTCACAACGGGGTGGTGGTCCATTCCATCGCTCATCAAAGTCACAGGTTAGCAGTGCTCGTCCTATCATCTCGTAACCCTCCTCGCAGGAGTACTTCACCAGACTCAGATAGCCCACAGTGTTGTTCAGCAGAGCATAAGATCCATGGGCAATGCTAGCTGGGAGACCACATTCGATATCTGAGGAAGGTTTAAGAATGATTCTCATTTTGTTCTAAATATATACATATGCCTAGAAGTATGCTATATTTTGAGTTATCATTCTATTTCTGAGAAAGCGGAATCGTTTACAAGCAGTTTCAAGTTTAATATTATATTTTAAGTTGATGGAAACCAAAGAGCAGGTCAGAAGTTTACTTTCTTAGCTAAAAATGCATTCATTAAGGAACTCTACTATCTCCTATCTTCCAATTCCAGAGATTCCTCAGACTTCTCTATCCCTTTACAACCATCTCAATACTCACATTTGCACACGGGCGGGAACTCATTGTAGAATCCAGTCTCCAAGCATGTTCTCGTGGCTGGACCCACCAGCAGGTGGTTGGCATCACAACTGTACTTGATCTGGGCACCCACTTCGAAACCATTCAAGGCCACCATTGTGGAATTAGGCGGTTGCTCTGGTCGTCCACAGGTTTTCGGTTGATGTTGACAGATGAAGTTCAGCAGCGTATTGCAGTTGGTGTCGCTCCACAGCCAGCCCTTGGAACCGTCGAAACGGGCACAGTCCTCATCGCCACCAGGATGACTCCAGAAGGAGACAGTCAGTTCATCGCCATTAACCCATTTCCAGCTGCTACGATCGCCACCATCGCGTACCGCTCCCATCCAGTACTGGGAACTAACATCACTCCTGTGACGTCGCCACAGCTCCCAACTGATGAAGCCCTGCAGCGCCGGATTACTTTCACTGATCAGAGTTCCGCCACGGGAGCGGCAGAAGGACAGGGCATCCAGGAAGTTCAATGGCTGGCGGTTGTAGAAGATGTAGCACTTGCCGTTGTAGGAGGCCAAAGCACCTGGTGGCTGATCTCTGAATGTCGGACACCTTTCGATAGGCAGAGCCTGATCCGTATAGACGAAAGCCTCGCAAATGGACAGTGGATTGGGTGTACTATTCTCCAAGTGGACACTGACAAAAGCTCCGGGCATTGGGGGATTGCAGGGCAGGAAGAGTGGTTGTCCAGCTTCCAGGAGTCCAGTGAAACGATTACAGATAGGATTGGTGCCCAAATCCGGTCGGTTGTTGCCCACTCGCACGACTATAGTGGCTGGCTTGTTGCCTGCAAAAGAGGAAAATCAAGGTTAGTAAGGTATAGGTAACTTTTTTGTTCTTCTTAGATTAAAATCTACTTAAAACACTCCCTCTTACTATGCCCCTAATTTCTCGCAGTGCCCCACTGCAGTCTCAGCTCTTTCTATTGGTATTCCTGTTGTCATTATTATGGTTATGGCTTTGTCTGTCAGCGGGTCAGGCAGGTTCAGTTCAGCTTCAGTTTGGCTCAAAGACGCAGCTTCAGATTCAGCTTCGGCAGCAGCAGCAGCAGCATCGGCGGCATCAGCCAAGTGAAAGTAATCATAAATTTCGGGCCGCACTGACTCACTGGGTCTGGGTTTCTTTGGGTTTTTGAGTTGGAGACCAAGTTGAAGTTAAAGTCGAACTTGTAGTCGAAGTCGAAGTCTTTGCTGTCGTCGCCAGAGCCGCACGAAAATCACATAACCAGCCGCGCCGATTTGAAGATCCGAGGAGATGGCAATGGAGATGAGGATGAAGATGGCGATGGCGATGGCGATGGAGATGGCGATGGCGATGGCAATGGAGATGAAGTTGGGGGAACTTCAGGTTGCTGGCAAGTGAAAGCATTAGGGAAAACTGGCTGGCAGTTGTTTGCTTTACCGCCGCCGCTGTTTCGGCAACCCTTTTTTTTCTGCATTTTTTTTATATAAAAAAAAAAAAAAAACAAAGACGATTCGGGGGAGAAGATCGTGAGGCATTTGCCATTTGTGCTTGGAAAGAGAGACTGAAAACCTGGTAGCCTGGCAGCATGGTAGCATGGTAGCATGGCAGCCTGGGAAAACGGAGCATTGAACTGTCCAACGGGGCGAAAGAGAGTTTCGTCCACAGAATGCGGTCCAAGCAGGTCTATTATTCGGCTTTATCGGCACAATATATGTTTGCGACAGGTTTAGGGTTGGGCCAACGCGATAATAGTCGGCTGCTGCGGTTTCTTAATAAAAGCGAAAAAGTTGCTCAATTTAATCAATTTGCTTGAGGATTAACCACGGGCCGCCTAAGCGCCATTTACTTGATATTTTCCCTTTTCCCCTCCCTCCTTCACCACCTGAAAGTTACCACAAATTGAAGTTGCAAGTAAAACCGAAAAAAAGGGGAATCAAGTGGGGTCTGTTAATCAGTCACTTTCCATTTTTGTGGTTTCGGGATTTTAGGTTTTTACCAAAGGAGTAATATTTTTGACTTATTTTATGTACTTTGGTTTAGATTTTTTAACCCCAACTTACCACAGCAAGACTTGCCAAAGTCCAAACGGACCAGCTGCACCATGTAGGGTTCCAGAAGGTTGACATACCACCAGGGCGAACGCTCTGCCTTGGTCAGGGAGCAGGTCTCTGGCGTGAAGAAGGCAGACGTCGATCCATCAATGGCCTTTTGTGGAGCACCAGCGCCATCAGTGGAAATCTGCATGGGAGCCTTTCCAGCGGCAACGTTTAAAACTGCAAGGAAAAAAGTAAAAAAAATTTATATTTGAAAAATAAAATAATAATCCCAGTTACTATAAGTTATCTTCTATACTAAAAACAAACTTAATTTCCATTTTAAGCTCTATGCTAAGTGCAGAGCTAAGGGTCACAGAGGTAATTATTTGGGAATTCAAGGCGCAATGCGGCGATGAAGATCAGTTTTCCAGCAAATTTTCATTTGTCAGCAGTAGTCCTATGGCTGGTGGGCATTCAAAAACCAAAGTTGGTCCGATAGTAGCGGATAGCCAGCAGAGTTCCCAGAGTGAGCCCAAGGCCCGGCTAATTGGCCCCGGGCCATGACACGGTTTGTGGCCAAAATCCAAAAGATGTAAACAAAGCAATAACAAAACTCAGAAAGTCTAACAAAATCCAACAATGTTCTGCCTGGCGAATTTGTCAAGAGACCTTCATTCTATGGCTATGGCCCATTGTCTTCTTTATGTTTTAGTTTTTTTTTAGCCAAAGATTTTTTTTATATATAGATATTTGGGCAAAAAGCAAAAGTGAAATTTAATGTCGGCTCAACTTTTACTTGCTCACCTGGCCGGGTCTTAATTACAGCGCTCGCCACGCACTTCTGCGGCATTGGGATTCATTAATCAGATGCATCTGTCGGATAAGACGGGTTTCGGATCCCAGCTCAGCGGCTTGGAAACACGACTGTTGCTGCTGTTGTTGCTTTCTAACCCCTGTCACTAGCTACAATTTCTTTCTGTGTACCAGCAGGTGCTTTAGCCGGTGTGACAAATGCTATTTAATTGCTTTTAATTAATTTCCAATCGCTTGCCAGCCAGACAGCCTGCTAGCCTGCTGAGTCACATCAAATTCGAATCTCAATTCGAATTCCTAACTTTGGCCTACAGTTCAACATGTGAAAGACCGATTTTCATTTTTGGAAATCTTTGGCTTTGTTTTCCTTTTCTTTTAAGGCGTCATCAACTTGCAATCAGCTGACACAGCGGGTCATTGCTGAGTTGGTCTAAAAGAGCAGCTCTCTGGGCCTATAAAAATCATAAATCTATCGAGTCTGGGCCAAGGAATTTCAAGGGTTTATTAATGGGTTTATCGGAAAGAAGAATAATTAAAAACTAATTGGGTCAGAAAATGGGAAAAAATCATAATTTTGATTTGATTTTACTTTCATTGTAGAAATTCTTGGGATTACTTTTCAAAGTTTGTGGGAAAAAGGTTGGTTTTTGTGTAATTTTTAGTTTAATTAAGCTTCTTAAGTCTATGAGAGATCTTTATTTAAGCAGTTATTCTTATTAAAATGTTTAAAAATGTTCGTTTGTTGATAAATTTGTGTTGTTATACTTTCATTTAACTTAAAACCTCATAGTTTTCCTACCTTTTTCTTCCCTTTACCACCTTTTTAATCCCCTAAATATTTCCCTGATAAATCCCGGAATTCCCCTTAACATTCCCAGGCTTTATCAACGCCCATCAACACCAACTACTGTCTCGATCGATCGACTTATCGCTGAAATCTCTCAGTTCCTAAGACTCAACAAAAGAAAACCCCGTTGAAAATTTGATGGATCGTTAAAGTGCCGCCCCTTCTTATTGAGTAGAGAATAATTTTACGGCTCCCCCCACCAAATCGATCAATTCATTCAAACCGAAATCCGGTATTCATTCACGAAATCAAAAAAAAAAGTATCAAAAAACCATTTGCAGGCCGCTCTGGTTGTGTCAATCATTGGGGCCGCCTCACGGAAGTGCATGTCTAGTTTGAAATTCATTTAGAATATTTATTTATTTATTTTCGTGCCCGACACGTTTTAGTCTGTTTTTCTTTTGTATTTTTCGTCGTGTCTGTTGGTAGTCACAAAGTGGGTCAATCTGGCCGAGAGCGGGGCAATTGTTGAATTCTTCCCACCTCGCGCGGCTTCTCTTTGGCAACTACCCTGGCCGTCTTTCTTCGCCTGCCCCCGCCTTGCTCTTTCTTTCTTTCTTTTTTTTTCACACACACGCATTGGCTTCTCTTTTTTTTTTTTTAGCCCAATTTCGCGCGTTTTGTTAATCATGTTTCGCTTTTGGCTAACAACTTTGCATTCAATTGGAATGCCATTTGCTCTCTTTCGCAGGGGAGAGTCTTACACAGAGAGAAAATGAAGAAGGTTTTAGATTGTCTTCTTAAGAAGCCTATAAGATGGCCTTGTTTTAAGGTTGTTTAGCTTTTTCCTGCTTAAAAATCTTGCGAATTCCTTGTTCTTTGTGAATTTTTTGACATTATTTCATAAAAATAATTTTAAAAATAGTTATTTTCCACCTTCTACATTGCATATTTCCAACCCACAAAACCTTTCTTTCACTGCTAAAATATTTTGAGAACGCTTCAAATTTCGTTGCGGTGAAAGTAGTTCCCAGTCCACGTCCGATTTGGAATCGAAGTTGCTATTGAGGCGCTAATTGAGTTGACGAACGGCAGCTCGAACAGCGAGTTCGTGTCCGCAGTCTTTTGTTTTGTTTTCTGTTTTTGTTTTTTTGTTTCTTCTTCTTGTATATAATGCTTACCACAGAACGGAATGCCCTCTGGCACCCATTGCCCCTTGTCGCAGACACGCCGCGCCGGTCCCAAAAGCTCAAAACCCCGCTCACAGCTGTAGGAGGCCACTGTGCCCTGGGTGAGATTCGCATTGGTAAAGACAACGCTGCTATGCGCCGGTGAGCCAGGGAAACTGCATCCAATATCTGCAAGAAAGAAGAGAAGAGAATATTAGATTATATGGTGATCGATTATGGGGAAATATTCTTCTTCGATTGCCCCAAAAGAGTTCTCATCGTCAGTGGCCAGCGCACTGGCCCCCTAAGCGGGCAAATCATTTTTGATTGATTTCCCAATTAGGTTTCGATGGAGTTCTCAGCGAATTAAGTTGGTAAGATATATATATGTATATGTATCTAAGAGTATATATCCCCTTCATCATTTATCAAATTAATTCCTCAGAAAGATTCGATTAAATGTTGATTAAGTCGGAACGGAGGGGGGCATAGAATAATATTGATTCTAAGGTTCTGGGTTGTTGATGTCTGGCATGATGGAAGATTATTTAATTGAATTTAGACATTGATAGAAAGTTGGGATTGAATGATGATTGAAGGGTTTTTATGGGTAAGATTTAAGTAAAATTAAGAAGCGATTAAATGTTAATTAGGGTGTTGGAAAGGGATTGATTGGTTTTAAAGGGTTTAAGTTTGTAAAGATTGAAACTTGTCTTAAAAAATTTAGAATTATGACTAAGTTTGAGATGAATATCAAAGTTAATGTTTGTTTTTCTATCCATAACTCTTCTTATTTTAATTAAAACATCTTCTTTACTATTAAATCTTCATAAAACTAATCAGCACATCCCCAAATCTAACTTTAATCTTCAAAATCCAAAAAATCATAAAAAAATATAAGTTTTACAGACAAAACTCCTTAAGCCCAACCCCTTCCTTGTCATATTCCCATTTAATTTTCCTCTTAAAGAATCTCAGCTATTTGAGTTTTTCATTGCTTGTTACTATAGAGACTTTGTCAGGTGGATTTTCCCCCAGCGTTTGATTGACAATTAAGCAAGTTCCGTTCCAGTTTGGTCACTCGCAGCGACGCCTGGCGAAAAATCTCTGGCATTCGCAGATTGCAAAATGTTCTCGACTGTTGTACTTGTTGTTGTTGTTTTTTATATAGCTACTGTTGTTGTTGTTGTCAATGCAAAGCGTGAGAAAATGGCCACAACAACAGCAGAAACAGCAAAAACAGCCATCAATTTAGTTGTAGCTGCCGCTTGTACAAGCTCTCGTATCTATGCAAAAATGCGAGCCAGCCGTGTGCAATAATCAAATGTGTTGCTGCTGCAATTTGTTGTTATTGCTGTTGCTGTTGATGTTGCTGTTATTATTGCAGCGTCGTCGGCATTTGTATGATTAGTTATTCAATTGAGCAGTTCCCAGGCTATCCAGCCATCCAACTAACCAATCCAATGTCATGAGTTTGATTCATCCCCAACAGCTCGAAAAAAGCTCAAATTGTTCTTTATGCCAAGTGCGACTTTGCATAATCGTAATGGTGATGGCGCAAAGGGGGGGTTAGTCAGGGGGCGAGAAGGAGAAGGCATGCCATAAATGGTCGAATAACTGCAACATCATTTGACCAGCAGCCAACAAGCAGCAGCAGCAGCAGCAACAGCAGTGCAGTGCAACTTTCCAAGCAGCTGCAACATCGTACCGAAAAACACGTCTTGCCTGCTACACATTGCTGCCAGCAGCAACAGTGGCAGCCAGCTTCTTATACAATCTTGATTCCCTGATGCCAATGCCAGTGCAATTTCATCATAACGGTTCTTCTCTTATAGCCAACTCATCCAGACTAGAAAAAGCTCTTTCGCCAGCTTTTCCGCTGGAAAAACAAATCAAATTAGTTCGGGCAAATTGAAATTAACAAAAAGGCACCAACTTTAGGCAAGTCATTTGTCATGCAGGGCAAAGGCAAATTAAGAAATCAAGTTCATGAGGCATTTTCAATTTCGGTTAAGTTTCGGTTTCAATTTCAGTTAAGGTTGCTCTTCCTCTCCCCCTCAGAGGAAGAGGGCCAGCCAGGCCAGACCAGCACTTAATGACGACTCCCACGCTGTGCGTCGAAAGAAAAAAAAACCAAACCCCAAAGGTTGCCCAGTCGGCCATGCATGAGAGAGTTCGCCACTATACAAACTTTTTTTTTCTTAGCTCTTTTTTCTCTTTTTTGTTTTTTTTTTTTTGGGATCTGTACTTTGGGCCTGGTTTTACTGTATTTTATAGCTCGAGTGGGAGCTGCTAATACCTTAAAGTGCAAAGGCAGACACAGACAGCAACTTGTTGCCATTGCCGTTTGCGTTGCTTTCATTTGCTTTCTATGTGCGCGAACTTAGTGAAAGTGATACCCATACTCCATACCCTCTATACACCACCCCCCCCTCCCCCTCCCCTTACATATACAAATACACTACATAAATAAATAAGAAGAAGAAGAAGAAAAAAGCACGCTACCATTGACAAAACAACAGCAGCAATTTGTACAACAAGCCAACTTGGCTGGCCAGCAAACGAACGAACATTCAAGATTATGGAAGACGGAATGGAATATTCATAGTGCGCGGTCTTGGCGCGGATCAAAATCATCTAATAATCATTATAATCATAATAACCGTTATAATATCCAACTAGTTTCGGACATGGTCCGTTGTTGCTAGTGTTATTGTTGTTGCTGTTGCTATTGTAATAACAAATTACCCATCAACGCCTTTTCTTTGATTGCCTTTTTGGGGTTTCGTTTTGGGTTTTTCTGCAGGGGGGAAATGCAGTCTAATGTAGCTCAAAAATCGAAAATTGTATTTGCCGAAAAAAAAAAGAAATATGGGAAATTCAAAGAGAGTTAAATGAAAAGAAAAATTATTGAATAGCAAACACAGCTGGGGAAAAAAACATATTTAAAAAAGCAAAAACGAAAGCGGCAATTAATTTGGGGTTGCTGTGGCAGAGATTTTCAAGCAGTTAAAGTGGAAGTTGAAAAGTAATAAACATAAATATTAGAGAAATTAAGAAAACTTGAATGGAGGTGTTAAGGAAGTGTATAAAATATGTTAAAAAATATATAAATTATATTTTTATGATATTATCTAATAAAGAATTAAGTCCAAAGACAAGCCTAACAAATAGTTTAGTGCCTAATTTTAGCTTATCTTCTCTTTTTACATCTTAGAAAACTGAATAACTTTTCTATAATATAAACACCTTTATAAACTATATAATCTATAACACAAATCCCATCATAAACATCCATTATAAACCCCTTTTTATATGTCAAAACATTCATTAACTTATGTAATATGTAAATGAACTGCAAAAGAAGTTAAAAAGAAAAGGTTAATGGTAGGCCATCGAATCCGTCATCACCTGCCTTGCCCTGTCTCATCGCCTGTCTCTTATTTATATGCAAAATATACTCGCCACAAATGAGAGTGGCAAGTGTGAATGGTCCAGCCAGTTTCCGGTTGAGTGCAGGCCTCAATTAATGCGATTCGACAAGGGGAGCTTAAAGTGCAGCTGCTGCAACCTGCAATCCGTTGCGTAGAAAGTTGCAGGCACTTGCAAATGGCTAATGGTGACCCCCACTTAGGCCCAGGCTTTTTGGTCCCAGGCCCAACCTGCATATTAGCTTCCCTCTCCCCCTCTGCCTAACTCTTCATTTTCCATTTTCCTTTTTTGCCATATATATATATTTCTAGCAACCAACCAACCAACCTACCTACCTACCTACACATTCCACATGCCACAGTCTGCAATTTGCGTATGTCGGCTAATTTCATTTTAAATGCAAGTCCACCACACCTGGCGGGTGCTTCAGCCTGGGGTGTGGCCACATCTTTTATTTGGCGACTTGAACGTTAATTAGTCTTAACTCTCTCTCTTTGTCTCTGTCTTAGTTAATAAGAAAAACACGTAGTAAGTATTTAGAAAACCTAGATTTGAGTTTCCAGATTCCAGATGCCCAATTTGGTTAAAGGTTTTCTGCAGTCAGTGCAGTTCTGGGACGTCATGCGCTGATTGCCAAGCGCCTACGCTTCGTCGATTACTCCGCATCTTGATCTGATCTCGATGTTAATATCTTAGCATTGTGTGTTTTTTTGGGCGGAAAGTGCAAGTGCTGCCGCCGCCCGTTAACCCAAATTGCGAGGTTTTCCCTAGCCCATCTAACCTATCTAACAAATCTATCTATCTAGCAAAACGGAAAAACGTCTTAGAAAAAATAAACAAAAAACAAACTAAAAGAAAAAGAAATTTTCATACCATTCACCCAAACGGCGGGAGAAGCGGCTCAAACCGTTAGCCCACCATCATAATGGCCATAACATAATGATGATGATGATGATCATCGAAGAGGGGGGAGACTGCTGCTGATTGGTTTTGGATTTACATAAATTGGCGCTGGAATGGCCAGCGCTCTCACGCAGCTTCTTCTCCTTTTAGCGGCGCGCTTCTCTTGACCCAGTTAACTTAGCTTTTTGGTGTTGTTTTCGGTAAGCTGGCCAAAGCTTGGCCAAATTAGTAGAACCTCGTTAAAATCGCACACACAAATACACTCGCACCCGGAGAGCCGGAGAACATCGAAAAGATTTCGCAAGTGACGACTGAGTTTTGCGCAATGTGGCCATTGTTATTGTTGTTGTTGTTGTTGTCTTTGTTGCTGCTTTTGTTGGCGGATGCGCCTGGCCAGACGAGACTTGTGCAAGCTGCAAGTTCGTTGCCTAAGTCTTTTGATTTTGATTTGAACTTCCGCCAGAGGATCTCACTTAGGGTATCAAATGCAACTTTTGGTTAACATTATTGCAGTTACATTGAAAGAAATTAGATGCTTAATGATAGATAGTAATTAAAAATTAATAAATTAAAGAATTTTTCTTGGAAAAAGTATAAATTAATGTAATTTTGAATAAGAACAAGTTAATAGCGCCACCTATGGGTCATAACTGTTAGAAATGAGGAAAATAATAAAATCTAAATAAAAATTATTTAAAAATTCCGCCTAAACTTAAAAATTAAACTATTAATCAGTAAAAAATTAAGATTTTATATCAATTAATGCAATATTTTAAAAAACTTTTCTTTACTCCTAACATAGCTGCAATTTTCAGAGCTTAAAACCAACTTAATCTTCCTTTTTCTCAGTGCTA